GTGGCATTTTGAGACTGTAGCTCCAGGCTGTAGAATATTATGAAGGACGTTTGTTGGGATCCTGGGGCTGGGCAGAGTTCAGGTACCTCAAATTCCAAACCGCAATTAAAAAAACCCCAACTCTTCAGAGACTATTAACAATGCAGATACTTACACTCGCTGGGCACCTCTCTGTTTAGTCTGGCAACTTATCAGTGCTAATGGAATACAGGATACAACTGGGAAAGGGAGAAAGGGCCCAGACTCAGTACTAGCTTTGTTACCCGAGCTCCAGACTCTCGTGCCCTCAGGCTGCACTGCTGACGCGGAGATGGAGGAACAGGAGAGGCTTTTCTCACCTCACCTATTGGAGATCCTCCAGACGGGTCTGCATGTGGATCTTGAAAGTCCATTCTTAAGGTCAGACACTCAAAGGAGCTTTTCTGATACCTAACAAGAAGGTGCCGATTTCCACTTCTAGGTTTGGCTCTCGGTCTATTAAAAGGTATCACAAATGATGCTGGTTATGCCCGTCCACGTCCGGCAGAGCCACAGTCACATTTTATTGCATGTAAACAACTGTGAGGCTGTGAATGTGAGAGGCCGGCTCGCTCCTCCGTGGACCTCAGGTAACAGTGCTAAAAGCTGCATTTGCTGACCACACCTGTGTCAGCACTTACACTTTGGTTGTACCAGATTTCTAGCATAAAATAATTTTCTAACACTTCTCCTATTTGTATTGATTCTTTGCCAAACAGGAATTAATTATTACGATGTGCTGAGGAGAACAGGACTGCTTTAAGGCACAAAACTGCATTACTAACTTCAGTGTCAGAACAATAGTACAACGGTCAAATGTCACTCCTGAGCAGCAGTAATACATCAGATTTGTTTTATCCGCTGGGATTTACTAGTACTGGGTTTTAAATACCAGTTGCCATCACTGTAGTCACACAGCTCCTCTGAAGAATATATGTTCCACAGTCAAAAGTCGGACATAAATTAAGTACATTCACATGCTTCAGCACCCTGTTACCAACAAGACCATTACTGATTTTCACAAACTAGAAAGGAAGACAAACCAATTTCAAGCAAGTTAGCTGTGAATTCAGTGCCTTAAGAAAAGGCCAGAGAGAAATTAGGGCCCAATTAACTTGAGACTTGGTTTTGGACCACGGGGACACCAAAAAGTCCCTGCAGGGAAAGGTTCACAGTGGACGGAATTGCCATGGACTGTAGAAGTCTTCAATGAACGTGCTTTTAAGTTCTGTGCCTGTTGAGTGCTGCTGTGTAAGGTGAACTGAGGTGCCTAAGCCTGGACCTGAGATGCTCCCCACGTGGGCTTGCACCTAAATTAGCTGCCAGAAAATAGCAACTCCCACTCCTCGGTTTCCTACGGATACTGGTTGTTATTTCTAAGCAACGAAGCTGGGCATGGTGGACGGGGACGTCACAAGGCAACATCTCAGCAGTGATCCTCCAGTATTCACCCAAACACACAGACATCTTGCCTTTTGTAACCACCCAGCCCTTGAGGAATTCTTAAGCTTTTCCAAGTATTTTTTTTCTTTGCATATCAACATTTGAATGTAGTACAGGGTAGGTGAACATTAATGCATATTGTTCAAAGAAGTCTGTTTCCATTTGTTCCTGCTTTGCTATCATGTGGTTTTACATAAGAGCTAAACTACAAATCTCTCTTGTGACATCTGTTACTTAATCTATCGTGCAAACATCAGCACATATCAGATTCAGTCCAAATTTAGGATACACTATCAAAGCCATTTAGCACATTATGAAAGAAACAAAATGCATTTTCAGTCACTGAGGGTGTCTCTATTACCCTTCATCATCTTGAAAAAAGATGGGAAAGTTATGACAAGGAAATCTAAAACGTACAAAACCAACTACTGCTAACTGAAAACTTGAATTGGTCTTTAAAAAAATGTCAGTATTCTGGGTCTATCCTGCAAGATTTCATGGAATAAGGTGTGAAGAACAATGGAGATATTTTTAATTCTTAAATTTGTTTGGCTGACAAGGAAAGTTAGCGGAAGCAGGTTGTTCTGCAAACTGAAATCACACCATGGCTTACCTATAGCATACACAGTTACAGATTGTTGCACTTGAGCCCAGCACTTAACTGGAAGCCAATCGTCAATTTCTGATTTTCCATTAATTTGCAAAGTTGTTTCTCTTAATATTCTCAGATGCAAATGCTGCATTCCTAAACTCCAAAGCATTGGGTTGGAGTGCGCAATTTTACATTGTCAAATATTCCTAACTAGTTTCACTGCTGTCTTGGAGAGCAGTCCCTCAGGAGATGAAGTGTTCCCCTGTGTATAATGCAACCATCACTGGGATTTCTTTCTGTTTGAGGCGTCGGTGGCCAGAGAGAAAAACATGCCCTTTTCAGCCAACTGCTCGGTTGTTTTCTCAATCAAAAGAGGAAGCAAGGCGATGTCGGCCATATAGGATGGCTTTTGTTTTACCAATACGCCTCTCTTCAGCCAAAGGCAAGTCTTGAAATGTTACACTGATTTGTGACGGCAAATGAGTATAAATGACTATAGATAATACTTCGGTGCATTGTTGTTGCTCCTGTGGCATCTGCTTCCTCGTTTTCTCTGTTTTCCTGTTTCTCTACAGCAAAAATGTTTCCAGGGTTTTGCCCTTTAGAGCAGATGAAAATTATATTTTTATGATCTGCTCCATTTGCAACATTTTTTCCACCTGACCCTCAGGTGCAGCCCCTGAGGGGTCTTCCCAGCTGAGGAAGTGCTTAGTAGCCGTCATGGCTAATTTCTGAGTCACCTTGCAACTCGCTCTCAGAACCACCAAGCCCCCTGCCCGTAGGGACATGGCACCCTCCCACCTGCGGAGACACAGTCATCTCCACCCGTGGGGACATGGCCACCTCCCACCCACAGGGACACGGTGATCTCCAACCGCGGGGACATGGCCACTGCCCACCTGTGGGGACACGGCCACCTCCCCCCGCTGGCGCCCCCCCCGTGGCAGCATGGGGCGCAGTGCATCAGCCCCGGCCGGGGAATCCCGGGGGATGGGATGGGACAGAACGGGACGGACACTGCCGGTCCCGCGTCCTTCCATCAGCCTCGTTTGTCCACTGTCGTGGTTTGGCCTCAGCCAGCAACAAAGAACCTTGGGATTCCACCTTGGGAACCAACAATTCCAAACCTTGGGAACCAACAATTTCCTTGGGAAATTAACCCCATCCCTGCTGGAACCAGGACATCCCCTGCAGCCCCTCCCGCCTCTGTCACCTTTCACTGCTGGTGGAGCAGAGCTGTTGCAGACCTGCTGCGCGCCGCGCCGGCTTGTGGCCGGGATGGAGAGGGATCAGACCCCAACGCCGGTTTTCTCCTTAACGAACGCACAGGTGCCCAACCTCAGCATTTCAGAGGCAGCAACAAGCCCTCGCTGGCACAGGAGACACCCCAGGCCAGCGTGCTGCTGTCCTCTGGGGCTGTGGCAGCACTAGGGGATGGGGTAAACACCATGACTATTAATTGCTACTACATCTTCTGAGGCTGCGGACAGATGCAGGCAGAGTGGGCATCCCTCTCTGGCTCCATCTGTTTACCCAGAGGAGCCTTCCTTTACTCTCTTCGCGTTTTGTTTCCAGAGTTTCTTCAAAACTTGCACATGAGCACTGCTGTTGCGCTCTGAGTTTGTAGTATCTTACCGCTTAAGGAATTGCAGCTCGTAAGGTCTTCAGGGCAGGCACAATATAACCCCTCGCATTTCTACCATACCTGGCACAACAGGGACCAGACGTGAATTATGAACACTCACAGCTTCTAGCTGAGAAAGCACATCAGCTGTCTACTAGACAGTAGATATCCGAGGATATCAGCAGTTATGGAGATGTAACTGAAAAGGTTGTTCCTCTGTTCCGCATAAATGTTTCTTTGAAACGTTTTCTTGCTGAATTTCTTAAGCCCAAATCCAGTATTATTATTAAATAATCACCAGCATTTTTATTCTCCATTCTTGGCAGCCCAAGCTCCAGCTACTGTCAACAACCATCAAGATCAGGGGAGGCCAGAAAAGAGCATTCAGGGATGAAATAGTCAAGAATATTAAAGAAAATCCATGTTGATTATATATTCAGATTTAGGATTTGAATGCAAAGACGGTTTGTTCTATAAACTGCCATCAGCACCACCCGACTGCTAGGAAAATGTGATTGCTATAAAATATCTGACAGCTTTCAGATTTTTATTTACTATAGAGTTTGTCATCGTTACTGTAAAACCCAAGCCCTGTGTCAGCATGTGTTATGGGAAAGAGACTGCTCCATCAGCCATGCTCAGCCCTCAAACTGAAGCGGTATTGGGACCGGAATTCTGACTTTCCTTTCATATAGAAACTGTTTCTTTAGGAGTTTCCACTGGAATTGGTGAAGCCATTACAGGTATAAAAGAGCATCAACACGAATACAAGTGCTAGGAATTAGATCTTGTGGGGCATGTGCAAAAGCCCCTAGAAATTAGGACAAAGTATGTTGTGAACATAAAAGTCTGCCACGGGCCCTGCAGTTACGTGAACTGATGGACAACCATACCACTCTTCAGTGTCAAGCGATATCCTGCAGGTATGTGCTTATGTAGAAATGGGGGGAAACCTCTTTTTTTTTTTTTTTACATAAAAATATACTTTATTGATAGTATATAGATGTATTTGTACCAAGGTTTAACAAACTGCATTTCACTTTCAACTATTCTATACTGTGTGAATCTGCCATAATATAGTCTGTCACAGACATTTATTTATCTACTGCTAGACTACGCCTTTTTATCTGATGCGTTAACCCACATACACACATGACACTTTATTTAATATTTCATCTGTGTAGGTCAACAGTGTCAAGTAGCTGCCAAAGAATTTCGAAACCACTTTCCTATTAAAATGACTGTAAATGTGATAATTTATAAATTCTATTTTTTCATCTTTCTAAACAACATGCTGAGGACTACTTGTCAAAAGACTACAACTCAACAACTATTTTCTGGCATAATCCTACATTTAAGAATTTTTAAGTAGCTTTGTACTTTATTGGAGTCTCTCCTGAAACAGTGAATAAAGTCAGAGTCACTCATCGTGTTTGCTTCATTACTAATTGATAAACCAGTGGCTTCAGATGATGCCATTCCATTTAATGAATTGCTGATGATCCCCATGGACTGCATCTGTATTGAAAGCAGGAAAAGAAGTACAACTCGTAACTACACATACAACAAATCTTCAAAATACTAGTGTAGAAATCGACCGAGGCATCGCTATGTTGGGCTGTTCGACTCCAGACCTTTCACATACTTATTGAAGATATATGTAAAGTTCCTTACATAGAATAACACTGCCTTTTTATCTTAACAGGACCTATACAACCTTTAGACTAGCCTGAAGTGGTCTGATATAATAGTATATGCAAGAATGTTGGGGTATAACTCCGTCTGAGTTTAAGTAGGGGAACTCCTGTTTGGTAATCGTTATTTCCTCTTGAAGTAATATAGCAAATCAGTCTTGAAATTTTTTAGCCATTTATTTTAATGAGTTCTGTGAAGGGAAGCTTCTAACAGGAGCATTCACCAGTGCTGTTTAACCTGGCAAACTCTGCAGGGTGTTCGCACCTCTCAGAGGAGCTTCACGACAGAACCAAGCTTAGAATAAATGCCTTAAAGAAAAACACAGCTGCAAAACATTGGAACGTTTGCAAACAATTTGCATTGTTTGCTTGGTTTTTAAAATTATATTTCTACCTTGGGGTGTGTCCATAGTACAGAGAGGTCAAAATTTCAAAGCCTTCTTTCTGAGTAATTCCTTCAAAGGTGTTTTAGAAAAATAAATCAGGTAAATATACCAGAAGTCCGTAGCTAGTTTAGAGTTTGATGGCTTGCTTCAGTTACAGAACAAAGCAAACAAAGGTCAAGCTTTGAGGTCGAGCACCTCTGAACTTTAAGGCCATTTTAACCCAGGACCATGGCTGCACTGGGAAGATGGACTTTTTCTGTTTGTAGCTCTGAGAGTCACCCTAATCAGGGCTGCATTTCAGAGCAATTCATCCTATTCTAGTGATGAGCTGCTTATCATTTTAAAACTTTTATTCCCCACCTGTGTTCATAAAGCTGAAAGGTGATCTACTAGTGTAAGGTAGTAGTTTATTATTCACTTTTTAGTGAAACAGACACCTTGGCAGTGTAGCCATTTCAGAGAACGGACACACAGCCCTAATTTGTTTAGCCAAAACTACACAGAAGCTTAGATATGAATGCAGAAGAAATACAAAGATCAGGACTTCTAGCTAGTAATGAGAAGACAGAAATGGAAATAACAAAAAATTACATCCAATAATTTATATATGATCTGCCAGAATTTGGAGTGGAGTTTTGAAACTGTTTTGTGACTGGTGTCTGACTTAAGCAATGCCACTGTTGTCTTGAAGAACTTATCCCAGCATAAAATTGTTGCCTTAGGAAGGAGCTCTTTGCAGCAGACAGCAGTCATACTTGGATTACTTAGAATGTAAATACAAACAAAACTGAAAACAATAATTAAGTATTTGTCATGGTCTACCCACATGTCCCCTGCTGCCCTGGAGAAGGCAAATCCTTACTGGCTCATATCTGAAGCTGTAAATGGCTCTAGTCTTTGTACTTGTGTTTTTCTTCCATATATTTCATATTAATAAAATATCGCTCTACACATATAATGTCATCTACATATCTTCCAGTCCGTAAACTAAGTCACATCCTTTGGCTGAAAAATTCCTATACCTGTAACAAAGTCCAGTGTTGCTGGATCAGAGCCTCTGTTGGCATAAAGGCTTCAGCCCAAGTGAGCGCAGACATTGCCCCCCGCCAAAGTCACTCATGCCACATAACTGGTGTAAATAAAAGCTACACTGAAAATCTTACCTTTTCTGTTACTTTCTCAACTCCAGTCTTCAGCTCATGTACCATATTGCTGATTTGCTTAGCTTTGCTAAGGCTGTCATCAGGTAGCTCTTGGTGGTGCTGATTAAAGTGGGAAAGTGGTTCTTTCCAGGCTTGCAAAAGTTTCAGTATCAAGTGAGTTAATTCTTCTCTCTGATAAATTAAAACAGTAGAGAATTTATCTGTTAATTTGCAGCAGGTCATGTCACTGTTAGTCTCGCTGTGAAATCTCAGTGGGATTAAGACTTACATCTGCAATTCCAGAGTTTTCAAATATTCAGAACTTAAGGGCCAGTCTGTCTCTGGTTATTTGCTTAGATATAGGCAACACCCCAAATTTGTATTTGTCTTGTTTTCAGCTTTCTTAGACTCCCTAAGCTCTGTAATACCTAAAACTGTGGAGTACAGCATTAGCAAAATGGTGTCACTCCTATCAAATTTACTTGGTACTGAAAAAGTTTTCAGGAACTCCTGGATGTCTCAAGAGCCCATGGAGCTTCATCGAGACATCTCCGTTTGCTGGCATGGAAGTGCAGATGTTCGCTCACACCTGTCGTGGTTACAGCTGTGTCGGTTAGTGGGTCACTGCAGACGCACTTCCCAGAAGGTGCCTGGTGGTCAGGACGGTTGCATCTCTAACAGAAACTCAATGGCCATAAGACTTCTCTTGCGATGTAAGTTCAGAAATAGGTTTGATGGGTTAAAGCTTCCTAAAGCAGGCAGGGCTTCATTTCCCATTGCCCTTCCAGGGGAGCTTCTAAACTTCTTGGGGAAAGCTCCTCGCTCCATCACAACCAAAGAGCAAAACGTTAACATTTGTCTCCATCTGCCTTCTCCTAGAGGCAAAAGTTTCTCCTGCTGCTGTATCCTCGACTTTACAATCTGCTTTTTCTCTGTCTAAAGAAACTTATCCTGCTCTCCTCTAAACTGATAACGATTTTTTTTCTCTTTGCCATTATATCTGTCTAAAACAATTTGCTGTTTTTTTCCCCTTACCTAACTACCAATTCAGAGATAATGACTGTTATTTCTTTCTCCTGATTGCTTTTTGTACTTTGCAGTGACGCTGATTAATTTATCTGTCACAAGCACAGTTTTCTAAGTTTCTCTTCTACAAACTGCCACAACAAAATCAAAGGGATGTCTGTCTGTCAGTCAGTCAGACGAAGTACTGCTGCAATACCTCTATTATAACTAATAAATATAATTTAAGCATATGGAACCATATAAAGATTCTTTTTAAAAGAACAAATTAATGATTCTTATACAACACCACAGTCATGTGCACCTGTTTGGGGTCAAAACTTATCAGCTTCTTCAACCCAAACTGCTGATGAAGCACCGGAGGCACAAAAACCTCTCTGTCCACCTCCAGCCCGACTGGGGTGAGGGGACCACCGCAGCGTGATGGATGAGACATTTGGGGGCTCTGACGGGACGGGGCGTATTTTCCCCTTTCTTCACGGGGAGGGAAGGAGGCGGTGTGACCCGCGGAGCCCCCTCCCATCCCCCCAACCCCGTGGGGGTGCGCGACGCCCCGCACCCGCCCCATCTCCTCTCGCCGCCGCAGCTCAGCCTTACCGGGATTTTTTGGGCGTATTCTTTGCCGTTGGGGGTCAGCATCCCCGACGTGAGGCACCTCCGAGC